TATCTACAACAAGAAAACCAACTGTACAAAATCTCAGTCTCCAGCTGATAACTTCAATTATTTACTAATCCCGTTGGCTTCAACGTTTTATAACTTATTTTGTCTCAAATTTATTTTTAATCAAACTTTCTATGGGATTCATAGTATTTATCTAACTTTTCAACTAAACTTTTCATCAAATTTATCAAACTTCAGTTTGCTAAAAAATTAAATTTTTATCTAAACCAAACAAAGGCTAAATGTGCACAAAAAATAGTGCTAGACAAATCTCCCGAACCAAATCCGACGGTTCTTCTCAAATAAAATACTCGAACGGGTATTTGAATTGAAAATCGACGGGTACGATTCGGTTCTACACTAAGAACCGAAGAACCGAATCTTCTTAATTTTTTTTATATTGAATTATTTTAATTTTTTCTAAACAAATTAACAAATTAAATAATTAGGTGATTGATTGATATTCCATCTCTCAAGCCCTAACCTAGCTAGCTTGATCCAACCCAATCAATTTCTAAATCCAATTTTTTGGCCCAATTATTTTTTCATTTCTAATTTTTTAATTTTTAGCCCAAGTGCCATTTTTAATCTTTCATTTCTTAGCCCAACATCCAAGTGATCCAACCCACTAATAACTAACCCTAAATAAATTACACACAGTATCACCTACACTACACATAACACATCTGACATTCCAAGTATAGAACCGTCGACTCCGAGTCCGAAGTTGTGACCTTCGGGTTCCAACCACAACCTCCGACCATTGATCAATTTGTTGGACAACTTGTTATTTAGATGTTATTAAATTGGACTACGTTAATTTGTAAAATTATGATTGAATGTGTCACTAATTGTATTTATGTAGTGTTATTATAAATGTTAAAAAATTTAATTATAGTACGGAATCGAACCCGAACGGTTCTATAATTATATGTGAACCCGACGATTCCATTTACTAAATACTCGAAAATTTCTTGTTCGATTCGATTTTAAAGAGAACCTTTAAAATCGAACCAAACCATCTGCGTCCAGGGCCTAACAAAACGTGTAGATGCTAGATGGTGAGTAACTCAAGCAGTGTGGAATCACTTGAAAATCAAATTAAGGCCAAAAAACACGCACATAATAAGACACTACAAATCAAACCATAAAGAGAATCGCTCTGGCCCTACTTACGAATAAATAGAGAGAATCTTGAAAATATTACCAGTGCCAAAAGCAGATTTCCCAGTCTCTTTCTCTAGCAAATTCATTTAGTATCCATTTGATTATAAAAATGAAATTGAATCGAATTGAAAATGAATCTCAAAGAATTGAATTGCCTAAAAATTATTTTCCTGAAAATTGTAAATTATTGTATTTGATTGGTATAATTTTCTACATGGAAAATGTTGAAATAAAAATATCTTTTGAGGTTCGTTTGACTTTGTTTTATGTGAAAATTGTCAATTAAAAAGATAGATTTTACTGGTATTGAGAATGAAATTGTTTCCATCATAATAATAATAATAATAATAATAATAAAATTAAAGAAAATCACTCATCTTTTGGTATTCGTTTGACTTTGTTTTACATGAAAATTGTCAATTAAAGAGATGAAATTTATTACAATAATTCTTACAATTTGTTTCAATTGCAAAATAAAAAATAAAAAAATACGTCAAAAGGTGGAATTTCAATTCCCACCATTTTGGTGAGAATTGAAATTACATCATTTGGTGGAATTTGCTTATGTGGCAACAAAAGATAGAAAAGGAATTCCATCTCAAATTTGTGCCATTAAACACATAAAAGATCGAAAATGGAATCTATTTTCCATTTTCCATGAAAAATATAAGCCTATCAAACATGGCCTTAATTTCTTTTTGAGAAGATCAAGGCTTACTCTCTTCTCCTTCTTTTATGCCCCCTCTCCTTTCTACTCTACTCCCTAACGAAGAGGCCCCTCCTCTCAAATGAGATTCAGAAAACAAAAGGATTCGGTATAAAATAGAGAAGCTGAGGCGGCTTGAAAAGGAAGGGGGAATGCTGTCCTAAATGCAGTTATGCACCGTAGATTATTCATTCAAATCACACAATACATTGGACCTTGAAGCACTCGAATCACCACGACACATGATCAAAATGCTGGGTGGCCTACAGTCTATTTTTCGGCAAGGACATGTCTCCATAAAGCCCGTGTACAGTGGGATCCACATGTTCCACACCTGTTTCATTAATGTATATTTTGGTGTTTAAAATTGTTTTAATTAAGCAACGCGTGAATGCACAGTGAGTGACTCTGCCGGACACGAGACTTGGTTTTATGATCCCGGTGGGCAGCGAGTGCGACCACTATAGACATATGGGCCCTAAACAAGTCAGTCAACATAATAAACCGGGTTTTGCTAGAAATCCCTGGCCACATGGGCGACACACCCCCTGCCAAAAGGGGGGGCACATGTGTTCCCCCCGGAAATCCCGGACCCATGGCATTACTCCAATAAACCTTGCCCTTTAATCTTTTCTTCAAATAAATAAATAAATGATGGGCTTAACAAAAAGGAACTCTCCAAGCTAAGATGAAGAACAAATTTCCTTGCTGGCAGTCGCAGTGTAGGGGTTCGATTCTTGAGACATGAAATTGGACTTCTTGTAGGCGCGGTGTACAGACGGCTCTTGTTCCTTAATCTGATGGGACAAAACTCTAGAGACGAGGTGGTGGGGACCCTCAAGATTGGGGTTCAACCTTTAGAACAAATTTCCTTGGTCATTCGTGGCTGTGGTTCAATAAAAAGGCTGTGAAACTTTGATGTCATTGAGAGCAAATATTGACAGGTAACATCAATATGAAGTTGAATTCCATCATGGGGAACTCGGAGATCGTCCTATAAACTCTCAGGAACGACATCCTACCTTACGAGTGCCCATGCATTTAATGTTTTGACATCTACACATGTATTTGCAAAACTCAAGACAAAATTGTTGTCGCATAAAGATATGAAAAATTCGAATTGTTTTGAGTTTTATGAATTCAAGTGTCTGATAAATAGTTATGGATTAAAATTAGATTTTTAACGGAATTTAATAGTTTGAAATTGAGTGATTGTATTAAAATACTCAGTCACATGGAAAATTCAATAAATTTCCTTGAGATGTTCCTAGAAATACATTTTCAATTTTGCCCTTGACTTGAAAGAATGAATCGGGGAAACGTTGATATGGGATAATTGAGATGAAAATTGTTTGATGGAATGAAGTCAAAAGTCCTATTATATCTCTGCCAATCAACAAGGGTTTCATGCCAAGTCCATGACAAATATGTTAAATGTCTTTAAGCTACACGATCAAGCAAAATATTTCATTCCGTATTCGTAAGCATTATATTCATACCGCGATTTGAGGTACTGACTAAAGTAAATTTTTTGACTAGAACTTATTTAAGAAAAAAATAAAGGAAAGCAAGAAATTATGGAAATATAAATTATCCATCAGCCAAAAGAGACTCAGTCCGGCAACCAATAAAGGTCATAAAATAAATTCCCATGCAACCGACCTAAGCCTACTTAATATTATTGTACCACTCCTAACACGGCCTTAACTTTCAATTTATAGCAGGACGAGTAGTTAAGACATAGCTGGACTTTAGCTAGAGCAAAGGAACCAGAACTATTCAATCTGCGCCTGCGGTGTCATTATTATTGTTGACATTTTCGTACTCATTCGAAGATCCATCAACTGGGTACTTGAGTGCATTAAGTTGGAGTTTACGGAGGGCAGCTTGACCAAGATCAACGCCGCACATGTCAGAGAGTCTGATGAGGTAAAGCAAAACATCTGAAAGTTCCTCACCAAGGTGTTGTTTTTCTTCCTCTTTCCAGTCAGGCAGTCCCTTGGGGACCTCACCTTTCCATTGGAATATTTCAGAAAGTTCTCCAATTTCCCCAACCTGCAAAGATAAATAGAAAAGATTTGGGTTATATTCTTTTTCTGGTTGGGATAGAAAAGAAAAGGCAAAAGGCAAACGGTGTTGATTCAACGGATTTTTATTAAAAACTGAAATATGATATCCAATGTTGATCATGCTTTTTGACTTTCTGGACCAAGCTTTTACATGGAAAGTTTCTTAACATGTTTTTTCTTAGGTTTTCTTAAGAAACAAGAAATGACTAAAAGAAAAGAAGGCATCATTACTCGCTGAGCCTATGGGACAGGTTCCATGGTAGAAACTAAGGGTGGAAAGGTACGAGTAATTTTTACCAGGGCCAACAGCAGATTTCTGGGGCTGTGAAACTTTTCCCAATCTCTTTCCTTAGAAAAGTCATCCATTTTCTTCTTGAGAAGATCGAGGGTCACGCTGAGACTCTCCTCTTCTTCTTTTATGCCCCCTCCCATATCTCTTGAAATCAGAATCACAAAACACAGGAAAATGGAAATGGTATTACACCTCGCAATATAGAAGAATAGAGCAGGTCAGGCTGGTATTTAAAGAATTGAACCCCGCGGAGACGAAGAGGTCTGGGATGGCCCACTGGATAGGGCAACCGTCTATTATTCAGCAACTGTGATGTTGACACGTGTAGGGAGAGAGGTGTCGCCTCGACATTGGAAATTCTCGTCCACAGTGGGGTCGACATGGGGTCCACATGTTTACTCCTGTTTCACCATACATGTTGGTTTCAATTAAATGTGAAATGTGAATGCACAGTGACTCAACAGCCAGATGACCATTTAACATAAGTAGTGATATGACATTTATATTTTAGATAAATACAGAGCTAAACGGGTATTACACATTATTCTTAAATATTTTATAAGAATATTTTCAAAAAATTCTTTAAATATGAGATACTTTCTATTTTAGATCATCGATCGTTAGAAATCATGCTCTAAGAGAATTTTTAAATTAACATTTCAGCCCTTGTTTGAGCCCCACTACAAAGAAAATTTTGGGTAAATTGTATTATGAAATAATATTTTTTGGAAGAATGTGTAGTTAAAAAATAAAAGAAATTTTTTATTTACTTATGATATTATTTTATTGAAAAATGTGTAATTAAAAAGAATTGCGAAAAATATGTATCAAAATTTTAAAAAGTGTCAAACAAGGGCTTAATTTAGAGAATGAGCTAAACTTACTCTTTATAATTAAATGCATTTAAAGTGTTTCAATTTTCAATATAAAAAATAATAAACTAATCTAGAGAAGAGCTAGTTGAAATGAAAGATAGAGAAAAATAATAAATATTTTCTAGAGTAACAAATTTAAATGTTAAATATAATAAGCTTGTTGAAGTATTTCAAAATTTTAACTATTTAAAGTTATAAACGCTCTTCAAATGATATAATATACTTTTTAAAAGTAGATAATTTCTTGGATATGCTCTAAGTGCTGTAAAAGTAATATTTAATATGATATGCTTTGATTTAAATCTACTGCGACATAAACAAAATATGTAAGAAAATAAAATTTAGGATATAAATTTAAGAGAAGAAAGTTGTACTCTCATAACTCAATTTTTATTATTCAAATTTTTTGTAATAATGAAATACTATAAATGAGTAATTTTTTATATTAAATTTGGTACATAAGAATTAATTTCTAATAATGAATTTAAACACCCAATAAAATTTCTAAATATATGACTAGAAGTAAATTCATCCATAATGAATCAAATTCATGTAGATTAAATTTCATTTAGTCAAGTTTCACTGAGTCTAGATTAATGTGAATGTTAATTAATTTATAATTAATAACACAAAATTCATACATGACCAAGGATTTTATAATATTTATTACATATTGAAAAATGAAATTTAAATAATTAATGAAATAATTAAATTGTAGTAGGATTAAAATCGTTCAAAAAATAATTCTCGTTTAATGTGATATTTAATAGATAATAGATATAGAAATACATTATAGATATAGATTAGTTAATTTATTATTTTAGTTTTCATTCTAAAAGTAAAATTTAAAATGACTAATTAATTAATCACATTATCAATGATAAAATGAACACTGCTTATATCATTATGTCATTGTAGCATGATTGTTGTGAAAATTAGAAGTTTCAAGAAAAAAAAATTAAAAGCTTAATTATTATGTTGGCTACTTGTTTTAATGCCCGGCTGTCTAGTGGAAGCAATCGGCGCCCATTAGGATCATAAATTCACAGGTATTTTTATTTGTACAATCATGGTACGATGATATAATAGTTGACATAATGTCATGAAAATAGAGTTATATTGCCCATCCAATCACAAAATGACACACACTTTTCCGTCAAACAATCTCTTAGAATCCTTCTATTAATGTGTCAATTTCCTTTTCACCATGTACGAATGGGCAATTGTTGAAAATGAAGTAAAACCAGACATGAAAATCTGTACTTTTCATAAAACCTGAACAAAGAAATTTACTGTATAATTTTATTCACGTTGTAGCATGATCAACCCCCCATTTTTTTTTTGTGGAAATGTCACCCTTTAAGTGTAATCAATTTTGAATCCTGAATTCTCTATCTGAAGAGCATCTATTTTATAGCTTGTTTGGTAACGATTATGAAAATTGATTTTTTGATCGTTAAGGAGAATAATGGGCTCACTTGTGAATGAAGAAGTCAAAAATGACGGTTGGAATAGTAAAATAATAGTCAAAAATTAATTTTTTGAGGTAAATAATTACTACCAAACGGGGCTTAATTCTGTCCTTCAATCTTGAAAGATCTTCAAATATCCAACCAGTCACAGAACTAGCCTGGACTATTGATAAAATGAATATGTTTGGGTCAAGAAAATAAAGGCCCAAACCATTTTCTGCCAAGCCCAGCATCAGGATTCTAGATTCAATCTAGTGCCTTACTCCCTAACAGCAAAACCCAATGATTAATCGTAACGTGAAAATAATTATTGAAGCACCCTGATACCAATGGCTGGAAAATCGAGCAAAACTAGACAATAAATTTTTTTTTTCTCTCACTAAATTTGACTCAAGATTTTTTATTAAATATTTATATTCACGATATAATCAGTCACACAGAATTGGAAAAGTACCCTTTGCATGACCAAACTTCGAATCCTAAGTTTTTTATTTGGATGACAGTGATTGCATTCTTGTTATTGAATCTTGAAGAGTTTTGTTATATGTACATTTCGGTGCACACTCTACCTCACAAGAGGGGGCCCTTTGCTTTTTTTTTTTTTTTTTAATTATTGAATTTGAATTCCGTCCCCCCCCCCCCCCCCACACACTTGTGAAGGGAGTGTCCACCGAAATGTATAAATATCATTTATCAATCTTGAACTTGAATGTTATTCTTAAATATTCGAACTTCCAATCTTAAGAAATTTTTTACTATTCTTTTGAAGAATAAACTATAGTTGGTGGAACCTCGAGAAAAACAAAAGAACCATATTTTTTCTTTTTTTCTCTTCTATACGGGAGAGCCACAACAGAGACATAGTATCCTATGGTGAGGCTAGTTCTTCCCTTGTTCCATTCAATCTCTATTTATATTTTACCCTTTTTGAACACATTGTCCTTAAACTTCAATCACTAATACAATTAAATTCAGAGCTTTTACTGAAGCTATCAAAGGGGCCTAATTGGAGTTATATAAATTATGCCGAATAATCATCCCTATCAAACCAATCTGATTCTGTCCAGGATAATTCTTAATTTCCACATTTTTCCAATAACTGTGAGAAACTAAACTCACAAGTTATATAAAAATCACACACAAGTAATATAAATTAATTCGCTGCAATTTATATCGTCTTAACTTGTCATCTATATGAATTATAGCAGTTGGACATTAAATATTAGATCAATGGCAATGATTATTTTGTCTTTGTAATTATTTTCATACTCATGAGTCACATTTTTTAAATAGTTTATTCGTGATATGATCATGAAATTAATAATTCAGTTTTTCCAGATAATGAGTTCAAATTAAATTTTTTTTTTAAAGAAACTACTCAAGTGGACTCATTTGCCTGTTGAACAAGGTGAAGAATTCTAAATGCAAATACACACTCATTACTTCGGTTCCTATCAGTTCCCCACATATCTAGATATTGATCGTTACTAAATGATATCACTCATTGACATATCAAAAAACTTCAAGTTCATGCATAGCAGAAAGTATATCATGACCGATTTAGATAGACCATAGGATAGTCATATGTTTTCTTTAGCGCAATCCACAATAAATTTATGAAAGGACAATCGTCACAATCAGGGCAAACCTCGTACCCAATTTGTAAGTAATTGACCCTTCAACCTAAACAGGCTGTCAACCTTTATAAGTTGGTCCAAGAGAAATTCTTTTTGATCAAAATATAAGTTATAATTTCTTACTTTTCTAGCAAGTACATACCTTATATATCACAATTCGATCGATGACCCTTAATTGTTTACTTTAATATAGATGAATAATTAACTCAAAACAAATGAATCTCATTTTATTCATGAATAAAACAAAATGTTCTCAATTATGGTTATGTCCAACATTTGGCATCAACCAACAGCTATCCACAATGACATTTGATGTTGTCGAAATTTGGACGTTTTAAGGTTGGTGTTACTTTCTTCCAGCTTTCATGCTCGTAATCAATCTTAATCATGTTTAAAACTCACTTAACAATCCACTTTCTAAATTTGTGTACTTTTTAACTCATAAACTCCATTAACCAGCCGAGATGATTGGAATAATTGAGTGGTTAATTTATTAAACCCACTCTTGCTATTGTTATCAGTTAATATGAAAGAAAAGTTTTGGCTATGCTTCAAGAAAATAAGCTTTAATTAAAAAAAAAAAGAAAAAAAAAGAAAAAGAAAAAAGAGACAGTATCATATACACCCTTCACGAGTTTAAAAAATATTACTAATCTTATCTAATTCAAGATTGAGTATAACATATGTCCCTTGATCACTTTTTTAGTCATATACCTGAAATATCCTTGCTATGAGAAAGATGAAATATTCAACGATTAGTTACAATTTAATTTGTTCACATAAACTATAAGAACATAAATTAACATATTATGTATAAAGCTCGTCC